TTCGCGATCGCGAGGTTTGGTGTGCGAATCACAGATATATTTCTTCCGGTTTACAGGAATTACAGAGCTATAAATATTGGAAATTATTTGGAATCATACCAGAGTTAGTTCATGTATGACCCTGACAAATATATGTGTTCCCCGCTTTTGGATCGCGCGCGGGCGTATTACCCTATAATTCACATTTTTTTCGTTAGCAACAACTTGCCAACGACATGCATTTATACGCTTCCAGCAGAGCAGTTGTGCAATAAAACGTTTGATTTTAACCCATTAAATATCTTTATATTGAACAATGTTCCCCTGATTAGATTTTTTCAGGCTTTTGGTATGTTATTATTTGTATATTTCAGGAACGGATTCCGTAAAATATTTATGTTAAAATTACTTCTGTGTTCATTATAATTTTGTCTAAAGATTGACTGGTTCGACTATAAAGCTAAGTCAGCGTAAAACAGAAAAATACTCAGATTTTGAATTCGTTTTTCGAATAGTTAACCCTCGTTAACCCTAAAATGACTTAGTTTATTATAATCCTTAATCATTTATTAATTAATATCTGTTAAAATTAGAATTGGCGAATTTTGGCCAATTTATGAAAATTGAAGTTGAAATATACTATACATTTATAGGTCATGTAAATGTTCCATTAAATTCGTCATGTCCAATTTTTTGGTCAACTATGCCTGCTGAAAATTTGGTGGTGGGGAACACATGGGACTTCAAAGGCATCGCGCAAACGTTCTTTACGCGCTGCGGCAACTTTGATCTTGGTTCATATTTTGTAGAGCTGCGTGCGCGTAGCTTTGCCGAGTGATCTCCGTAAAGCTACGCGCACGCAGCGCTATGCAAATGAACCAAGATCAAAGCTGCCGCAGCGCGTGAAGAACGTTTGCGCGATGCCTTTGAAGTCCCATGTGTTCCCTGCCATCAAATTTTTATCAGGCATAGTTTACCAAAAAATTGAACATGGCGAAATGGAGAGCACCTTCTTTTCTCGATGCGCACTACATACAGTCAATCAATATGGCTGCGCAATCGTATCCATTTTGAAGCTGATACATTTATCTCTCATAAAATATCAAACATATTAATATTTTCCACCAAAAAAAGTTTCGAATTTAATGGAACATTTACTGGTCAGTGACTACCTAGCCATCGCATGCTCACATCATTCCACAACGACATTGGCTAAAATGACTTGAATGAACCAGCATCGGAGTAGCCCCACTCTTCCAAAAGATGCAACATCGACCGATCAATTGACTATTTAGGCCTATATAATAAACAAATTTTCCATCAACTGATCATCATTAATATTATTCATTTGTCATTTGCATATTTTCTTACATTCAAATATTTAGCTCCAGAGGATCCGGTTACAACACACCGTGTAACAACATATGGTAAGTACAGGATGTGTTCTATCTTTACTACTTCAACGGACCTTTCCGCCCTAAGGATGCTGTTGCAAATGTCCAACAAAACGACAGCGTCGTATAAGTACCTAAACTTTTGTGTATGAGATATTCAACAGGTTTGGTATCAAGTGAAAGGTATCAATAACAAATTCCAATGGTTATGTTATAAGTTAATACTATTGAACCTTAATACTACATTACATTATATTCATTATAGTATAAGTCTGAGAGTGCCATTTCAGGCCATCTAGTGCTAAAATCATAAATTTTCTCATCTCAGCACCAACCATGGTGGGGTTGAGGTGGTTTTCATCCTCCTGTTCGGCCACATTTGCTTGATTAGTTTAGAACAGCTGCTGAGACCGAATATTCCTCTCTTAAATTAGTTACAGATCCGATTATCATTAGTATTTATTACAAGACCCGTACGCGTCGGACGGGGTGGGGGTTGGGCAGTTGTGTATCTAGAAATGGGGGCTCGATGATCAGTTGAGGGGAGCTAATTCACAAAATAAGGTGATTTTAACTACTTGACCGGGATTTTCTTTTGGGGCGACGGGGGGGGGGGCAAGTAATTCGTCGCTCACATCACGAACTAACACAATCAAAGTAGATTGTATTAGTTCGTGAAATCACAGTAGCGCGTCAAAACGAGCGCGTATTGGTTGTCAAGCAATTTTGTATTCTTTACCACACAAAAAGTCAACAACAGCGCGTATTTTGACGCGCTTTTTTGATTTCACGAACTAACACAATTGAATTTAATTGTGTTAGTTCGTGATGTGAGCGACGAATTTTTGGAGGAGTGTGCGCCCGCACATTCACCTAAATACGCCACTGGTTGGGGTGGGGGGTGTGCGAAGGGTGCCTTCGCACCCCTACCCCAAATTACCAAAGGTCCACATTTTCCAGGGTAGAAAATTAAAAAATCACTCTCGCATACACCAGAAATCCATTCACCAAATCCCCTTGACCAATCAGATTAGTTTCCAACTAGGGCCGCCTTAATTCGTTCTCTGCCGCTTGCGCGTGTCAATGATTCACCGCGTAAAAAACTCATTTTCAATATAATATTGTCAAAATTATTTAAAAAGAAGAAAAGAAATTTATATTCAAATTTCTGAGAGTGCCATTTCCTTGTCCCCTTTATTTCGAATTCCTAGATCCGCCACTGATAGTGGTGGATTCCAGGAGGCCTAGTCATCCCGTCCCCACTAAATATTTCAAAATTAAAAAATACAAAAATGGGCGAAAAAAAGATATTCAAATTGTATGAGAGTGCAAATTTCCGCAAATTAAAGGTGCCATAATCCTAAATATCATAATAATAAAAGTCTCCCCCTAAGACTACACCCCCCCCCCCCTCTTCAAATTCCTGGATCCATCACTGAAAAACTTTTAATACATGCATCTTCAGAAATTGATTAAATAAGACCTCCGCCCCCTCGATCCCAGCAGGATTTTCTCCCCGAGGCTGCCCCCCAGGAGCCATTTTGTTCACTCTCTAATACAAATTCGCACCCACACCCAATAAAAAAAAAATCCTGCGTACACAGGCCCGTAGCGTGACTAAATTTGGGGGAGGTTCATTTCAGTGGAAAATAGAATCTTTGGAAACCATTATACAATAACGTACATATTGTTATTGTTATAATTGGAGTAATGCAAATGCATATTTTCTAAAAAAAAGTCATTTTTAGTGAAATTTTGCCGGGAATGGGGCTTTAAGAGATGCCGACTTGAAATACTTCTGGCTTGTACTCTGGAGAACATTGTAATATCTACGAATATCAATTTTTTCGTTTTTAAATGTGGACCTTCTTCAGTTTTTGGGTTGTTCGTTGTAACCCCCTTAAATAAAATAATATATATATATATAAATAGATATATCAATAAATACAGTACATATATATAAATATATCTGTATGTATGTATCTGTATATCTGTATTTTAACAACATCTCTGCAGCGCTGATTACTTCCGGATCGACGATTCGAAAAAGTGTATGTACTGCGCATGACTGGACTACACAGGCAAAGCTTCCCGGTCGCATGGCTCGCTGGCTCGCATGGCTCGCGCATTGGCTCGCACTTTGTCACGACCCTTCAACCTTCAAAAAATCTGTCGACGACTGTCGCCGATAGGTTGAGCGATTCGTTGGAAACCGAGCTTAATATAAGATAAGACTTGTTGTATAGTGCTGTGATGGTGGTTATGTGATAATAATTACATATTTATAAAAAGGCAGTTTTCCTACAGAATAATAATTTATCTCCAACAGATCCGGTAACAACACAACAAGTTTCAACAGATGGTAAGTAAAAGAAGAAGATGAAAGGTATCCATTTTATGTCTGGCGTAAAAGCGGAAAGACTTGCATTTGTGTATTTTCATAATTGACGAGGAACATACACTAATTAAATTGATTTCACTTACTATTACAGTACTAATACTATCACGGTATATTTACCTATATGTTTTCAGTCGTGTAAGTTTGTTTGTGTGTTTCACGTTTTGGTGTGTTTTCGTGTGTGTGTGGTTTTTTTTTTTGTTTTTTTTTTTGTACGACATAGGCCTATCGCAAAAACGGCTGCACAGACATAACCGATAATTACAGAAAGGGTTAGGTATAACCCAATGAAGGAATTATTCAATTTTGGTGACGGTCCGGAATAAGGTGTGGATGTGAGGGTCATTTAAAAGGGATTTAGAACAAACGTCCTAGACAAGATATCTCAAAAACTAATCAACTAATATAAATGAAACTTTCGTGAAAGCATAAACGAGTTACAAGGAAGAAATCACCAAGCGTTAGTCACGATTCAAATTTGGGTGTGAACTTGAGGGTCACTTAAATTTTTGTGGCTACTGAAAGTAGCTACTATGTCATCGAATGGTTTGCCGAGGTAAGTGACTGTGAATCTCGGTACCAGTCGACACATTTTATCACGAGCCGACTACCAATTGGTAACAATATAAATATATAACAACAAATTATATATGAATAAATTATTTAATTCTTATATATGTAATATTTATGCTATTATCTACAGTATATTAAATAATATTAATGCATTCTATACATTATATACAAATTAATAAACAATATAAATAAAATATAAACAAATGTAAATACTTATATACATACATACATATAAAGAAATAATAATATAATATAATATATATAATATTTTATTAACATAATATATTTTAAATATTAAAATATATCTTAAATTAATAATATATACACACACACATATATATATATAATTTTAAATTGTTTTGCATTATATGGCCGTTTGCTGTTTTATGGGTTATCCCCATTTGCCTTTCAAACTTTTTTACCATGAATAATTAATTTTGCATTTTATACTTTATCATTTCAAGTTAATGAACTGAAAAATATGGCAAAAAAAAGACATGGGAAGCCTACATTCATATTGTATCTCCAGTTAAAAACAAATACAAATCAGTACTTCAAATTACAATTACAAACCACTGCGGACAATTTTCAAGAAACTGTTTTTTCTGCTTCATATCACACTGAATTCCAGAACTATTGAAAACCAAAGTCCAGTGAAGATGAGGGATTTTGGGACCAATATTCTTATAAAATAAAAAATCTAAATAAAGCAGTTGGAAGAGATACCATTCCAAATTTAGGAATTTATCAACCCAAAACATTCTTTGAATTTGAGTGTAAGCAACACTCAACCCGTAAACATAAAACCTAAGGTTATACAGCTTTCAGGAACCAAACAGTTCAACACTAGAAATGGGCTAAAAATATTACACAATGTATGCTGATTGATCCATCGTGTTCAGTACAGACAACTATTTGGGAAAATTTCATTCACAAAATTAAACATCCAGATTGCAGGCAAAAATGTTTGAAATGTTCAATAAGATGTCAATTTGCAAGTGATAACAAGTTTTTTAAAATACGTTTTCTGTAATAAATAGTGTTAAATAACAAAGAATACAAACATTTTTTTTTTAATTTTATTAAAGTGTTAATTTACTATGACATATTACCTATGATAGGCCTACTGTGCTACGGGAATGTGAGATATGTAACATGGGAAAGTGCATGATAAGCGCCACACCAGTATTTCTTATTAATGTATGAGCTCAGTAGCCACATGTACCTTTTAGGTACTCATTATTAGGTACTCATTTTTAAGGTCGTACGTGTTTCTTGTGTTCAAAATATCTCAAAAACAGCTGCACAGATCTTAAATAGAAGTTACAGGAATTGTCAGGTATGACCCTGGGATGAGCTTATTCAATTTTGGTGACCATCCGGACTAGTGTACGAATATGAGGACCATTCAAAGGAAAACGTCCCAACCCAGATACTTAAAAAATAATCAACCTATCTGAATGAAACTTTTGTGAAAGTTTAAGCAACTTACAAGGAAGTGTGCATTTGAGGGTCATTTAAAATCCTAAGTTCCCAGACCTAAATATCTCTAAAAATAACCAATGGCTATAAATGACACTACCCACAATTGTTTGTCATGTTTCGATGAAGAAATGTTTAGATTTTGATGACCATCCTGAGTAGGGTGTGGATATGAGGATCATTTAAGGGAAAACGTCCCAGACCAGATATTTCAAGAATTAATCAACTGGTATAAATGAAACTTTTGTGAAAGCTAAACCAAGATACAAGGAAGAAATTATGGAGTGGTGGTGACGATCCAAATTCGGGTGTGCATTTGAGGGCCAAAAGGTCCCAGAACCTAAATATCTATATTTTTTTTTTAATGGATCTATGGATAAAAATGACAATTGGCAGAATAGTTTATCACATTTTAATAAAGAAATGTGTCAATTTTGGTCACGATCCGAAGTAGGGTGTGGATATGAAGACCATTTAAAGGATAAGTTTACCGTATTACCGTAGCCAGAAACATTCTCTATATGATGAATATTTAAATTAGTGCAATTACATTAAATGTGTACAGCGTTTTATATGTACTAACTTCACTTTTTTTCGGAGCTTATTGGGAATGTTTTTAATTCATTTTTACATTTAAACATGTGACGCTAAAAACCAAATCTCCATAATTCTATTTCAACACCAATACATTAAATGTATTTTGGTTGTCAGCTATGAAATTAAAACTTGCCAACAAGTTAAGCTAGAACATGTCAGTAAATGGCAGGTGTACAACTGGATACAATAAAAGGCATTCCAAAGATGAACTGATTACATTTTGGTGTCGATTATGGACCATTCAAGGCAAATGCCACAGATCAGATATCTCGAAACTAAACTCATCTAAATGAATATTTAGTTATTACAATTATTACTATTATTATTATTATAATTATAATTATTATTACTATTATTATTATTATTATTATTATTATTATTATTATTATTATTATTATGTAGTGGTTTTACGTCAGGACAATAACAAAGGTATCTTCATTTTCACTTCAGGGATTTACATATTTTTATTTTTACTTTTTGTAATGATTTTTATTCGTTTATGTTATTTCGACATTTCTACATCGCTTCTCATAAGTCATTGCCATTTGCCATCATATTATTATTATTATTATTATTGTTATTATTATTGAATGAATGTGTACTATGTGTACGCCTTATTTATTTTACTAATTATTACTTATAGTAAAGTAGATTTATTTTACTTAATTAATAATAATACTATCATTTTTATCATTATACTTATCGTTATAAGTATCATACTTATTATTATTATTATTATTATTATTATTATTATTATTATTATTATTATTATTGTTGTTGTTGTTGGATGGATATGTACGCATTATAAGATTTATATTGCAAATCATTATTTATGGTTTTAGAGTTATTTTACAATAAATAATAATAATAATAATATTATTATTTTATCGTTATTCTTATCATCATCATCATTATGATTATTATAAATTAATATTATCGCTGTTTTTACAATTATATTTATACTTATTGTTACAATGACCGTTATGATTATTAGAATAATTATTATTATTACAGTAAGGAATATTGGATAACATTCTTAATAATTGTCTTAATAATATTTTTAATGTTTTTTGTTTTTTTTAAATAATTATGTATAATTATATAAGTATAAGTATTATATAAGAATTGTTCTTACATCTAAATAATTTAGTTCCAACGGATCTGGTAACAACACAACGAATTACAACAGATGGTAAGTAAAAGGTGTAATGACTGATTATTCCATCCAATTGATATTTTTTCCCCTATGGTCCCACAAGAGGACAGCGTAAACACACGTGCGCATACCGTAAATGCTTGAATAAGCGCTGCTCTCGAATAAGCGCCGCGCCAAACTTAGGGTCAGATTTATCAAACTAGAAATTGGCTTAAATTCGTCTTAAGTCCATTTTAAGTCAAATTTATCCATATTGCTTAGCAAACAAAAAATTGCAAAATAATATGATCTAAGAAGAGTTATAATTATAATATTATTGAACCGTACATTTTTTAATAGTGGCACACACTATGAAGTGGTGCGTTCACAATAAAATATTCAAAGAACACAGTACATTCGTACCGGTACATTAAAACACAATATAGTATAAACACGAACAATACATGAAAAAAACAGTAAAATGACAATTTTTAAGTTTAACATTGAAAAGAGCATTAAAATATCAACATTTCAAATTATGGCAGAGAAATGTTTGAATTATTTTTTTATATGCACACCAGTAATAAAAGAGTAATTAATATTTAAATTCTTAAACTTTTAAAAAAGATAAGGATTTAAACAAATTAAATGTTTTGAATGAAAATATATAATAAAATTTCACATCTCGCTTTCCATGCTCTTTTTAAAAAGGACTTACAAGCCATATCAAAAATGTTAATGGTTGATTCGTTTTTTTTTTTCATATTCTGCACTTTCAGTTTCAGTTTTATTAGACCAACAACAAGGTCGGGGGCAGCTTAAGCAAACAAATCACTATAACTTTTTCAAGTCAGCTACCCCCTCATACAATATACAATTCGATAAAAAGACAAAATTACAATCACAAAAGACAGAAAAAAAACCAATTTTAACATCAAAAGTGAAATATTTTAAAAAATAAATAAAATAAAGGTACAGAGCATTATATATTGTCGCTGCCTAGTAAAATATTGAGTTTTGTATTTAAATCACTACTAATAAAATAGTACCAAATATCTTGGTGGTGTTTTTTATACATTCATTTTAAGCTTATTTAACTCATTAATTCTTATATATATTGTCCCCCTCATGCAATATACAATTCGATAAAAAGACAAAATTACAATCACAAAAGACAGAAAAAAAAACCAATTTTATCATCAAAAGTGATATATTTAAAAAAAAAATAAAGGCACAGAGAATTATATATTGTCGCTGCCTAGTAAAATATTGAGTTTTGTATTTTAATCACTACTAAAAAAATAGTTCCAAATATCTTGGTGGTGTGTTTTATACCTTCATTTCAAGCTTATTTAACTCATCAATTCTTATATATATTGTTAATTACAGTCCTTCTACAAATGAATAAAAATGGTTTAAATCTTCGATTTCTGATAGGCACAAAAGGGCACATCTCGTCTATGGCATCGACCCACTTAAATACTCTGTTGAGTTGCAAAGTGATAGAAAGTGCTTTAAATTTTAGATTTGCACCTTTAAAATCAATCTTATCAAGTAAATATTTCTCTATCCCTCTATAAAGAAAAGTAATACGTTGAAATGATTTATAATTTGCCTCAATTCTCAAGAGATGCCATCCTAATTTTGTATATAAAACCTCTTTGCTTGTGTATCTTGGCGCCCTAAGTATAAATCTTGGCCATATTTATTTGTAAACTTTCTAAACGTTCAATATCATTTTTACCTCCAGACCAGGTTGAACAAGCATAATTAATTGAGGAAATACCAACAGCCTTCCATAAAATGTTCCCATAGTAAACCTTGTTAAATCATCTTGGTCGTTTAGGATAAATTGAAGAATATACCCTATTATTTTAATACCTCGATTTATTACTTCATTTATGTGCTGGTGATCTAACAAATTTCGTGATATTATACAGCATGAATATTTGTATGTGTCAACCTCAATAATGTTCTCTTCACCCAATTGCCAGAGCCTTTTATCATTCACTCTCTTCCCCACAAACAATACATTTGATTTTTTATGATTAAACCTTAATCTATATTTATTACTAAAATCATTTGCAATGTCTAACATGTTTTGCAACTCATTGGAATTGTTTGCTAATAGTACGACATCATCGGCAAAAATAAACAGCCCATTTGCGTTTCATTAATACAAACTTCACAATTAGCCAACCGAAGTCTTTTTGCTAACTTATTCATGTATATTGAAAAGAGTATCGGTGACAAAACACATCCTTGCTTTAAACCTTCCGTAACTTCAAAATATTATGTTTCAATTGACACAAATTTAACTTTACTTTTAACCTTTTCGTATAAATTTAAAATTGGCCATACCTTTCCTCTTATGCCAACATTCCATGCTGTTATTAACAACATATCACGAGTTATGAATAATTCATGACATTTTAAACTTACCTACGAAACAAAATTTGCCCGCGGCGCAAGCATTTACGGTAGCCCTGCTCCGTTCTGATTTGTTCATGTTTGAAAACCCTGTTATAGCATGGTGATAGCAGCTGTACTTGTAGGCTTGGCGTTATCATGAAGCAGGTAATGATAGGGCAAATTTATATTTCCACATCTTAGAATTGAATTATATTGAATGCTTTTTTGCCGGGACCCTTATTGGTCGCGTCCCGGCCGTAGGACATGACATAGGCCCATATTTATTGTTTCTATTTGTTATCTATTTAATAATAACATCCACTTTAGGTTTGGCGAAAAAGCCAAAAGACTTGCATTTGTGTATTTTCATATAATTAATGAGGACCATAATATATTTCTGTTACATTAATTTATTTTACCCCCTCCCCTCCCAATGAATTATTACTACTTAATTATAAAAACGGGTTTTTTTTTCTTACATTAAAATAATTTATCTCCAACAGATCCGGCAACAACACGAGTTTCAACAGATGGTAAGTAGAAAAAGAAGACGAAAAATATCCACTTTATGTTTGGTGAAAACGCAGAACTTGCATTTGTGTATTTTTATATAATTGACGAGGAACATGCACTGTTACATTAATTTATTTTACTTTCCCTGTTCATCCGTTGAATATCTGTAAAGCTAATAACCTGTACATTTTCACATCCGATGTTTGTTGAGTATTTTTGTTACGTTTCGTTTAAAAAAATACATAATCTATAAATTGAAAATGTTTTAGGTCCACACGTGGTGAATATAGCTTGTCAAGAGGCAATGGGCATGGAATCCTACGCAATTCCGGATATCCATATTCAAGCATCTAGTTCGAAGTCATCATCCCAAGGACCACATCGTGCGCGGCTTCACATGCCAAGCGATGGTAATGGCGAGGCGGGATGGCGAGCAAACGAGAACAACCAAGAACAATGGATTCAAACTAACCTAGGTGGAGTAAAAATTGTCACCGGTGTTATCACGCAAGGAATGGCCACCAAAAACAAATTGGTTACTGCATTTGAGATCCTCATAAGCATGGATGGTGAAAGTTGGAGAACTATTTTAGACACTGAAGGAAATTCACAGGTTTGTTATTACACGACGAACACGTAGTTGATTTTATCGTACATACATAATATACAAGTAATTATAAAAAGAGTAAGAAATAGCATGAGTTCCATAACAGATTTCAACTCATTCTATATCCTTCTTCTATACCCTTCTTTCATTCGTATCTTTCTCCGTTTTGTTTGTTCAAGAACTCTATAGAGTGAATTCGAACAAGATTAACAATAACATCAACAAACAACTACAACAACAAAAATAAAAACGATAATTTATCCATTAAAGGAAATAAAATAGGAGCAATTTAGTTACATATATTTCGGTATTTTTTATTGAAAAGTAAAAAACAAGAGCAGTACAACATATGAATCCTTGGCAGCCATTGGCTGAATTAGGCCCAGGGAGGGACTTTCACAGATGGAGGGTCTACACCACTTCAGTCACACCATGATTGGGGCTGAGAGAAGAACATTTATGATTATTGTGTCTGTAGATAGATGGACACAAATGGCACTCTCAGACTTTACATATAATTTTCTTTTTCCCCATTTAAAAAAATTGTTTTGAAAAATTTAGGCGCGGGGTTGCAGCTTCCCTTATCCCCTCCCCTTGAATCCGCTACTGACCTAAAAAGTACACTTTTAGCATGTTTTGGTTACACGACTCTCCGTCAGTAGTTTATGGTAGCTGGCTTTATCGGGTGCAGGTCAAGGCAGCATACTACAGTATGCTGACGAAAGCTTGACGTGTAATAATAATTTAAGTTAGTCAAAAAAGTCCCTTTTAAATACTGTTAGTTTTATTATGTTTTCTAATAGGTTTTCGATGGCAATTTAGATGACGACACACCGGTGACAAACATGTTGCCAAACGCTACATTAGCACGCTACGTGCGACTGCACCCAACAAGTTGGAATGGCGGCATAGGAATGCGATTTGAGATCCTCGGATGCCATAGTGCGTTCCTTAATATTAAACTTCTTTTAAAGCAATATTTAAATTGTCATGGAGATGTTTTTTGAACTTGTAATTGTCTTTTTGATTGTGCTTGTCTTCATGTAGGCCTATTTATAATTCTGGAGAAGCACACCTTATTAGTGACAGAATTTTTGTGCTTTTGCTTCTAATCGGCTTTTACATCTTAATTGTCTGTTCAGATTTTGTATCTTTGTATTTTGCCGAATAAATAATCAATAAATAATATAAATAAATAAATTTGACAGTTAAATCATGAATGTCTGATTGAATGATTGACTGATTCTGTAACTGACTGATTGAATAATTTATTGCACTATTGACTGATTGACTGACAGTCCAACCGAACAACCGACCGACTAACCGTCTTACCGATTGACTAACTGATTGACTCTGATTGATAGATGGATTAATCGATCATTCGTCGATTGGAAGGTAAAATTCTGAGTGTGTAGAAGTGTGAACGACGGACTACCTTGAGCACTACTGCAGTGGATTTGTGCGCTTTATTATTATTATTATTATTATTATTATTATTATTATTATTATTATCTATTATTATTATTAATTATTATTATTATCATTATTATTATTATTATTATTATTATTATTATTATTATTATTATTATTATGATCTATGTTAACAGAGTCTTCGTGGGTAAAGATTGGGCCAAATATTTACGGAAATCTGCCAGAAATGTATATGTGGAACGAAGCCAGTGGAGGTTGCGTAGTCCTAGAAACAAGATTGCTTGACGGCAATGAGTATGACGCCTTTGCACACATAAATCCAGAAAACTGGACTGCAATATGGATCAGTCACTCCTCAGGTAGAATTAACGTCATCATTGTACGCATAACATGATATAGGATAATTACAATACTGTAGACCTGTGAGTTGTTAAAGTTCACATAATTTGTACAGTACGTATGCTACGAATAATTACAATACTCGAGTGTTAATTTTAATTGGCAGAATTTGAGCTGGTCTTCAAAGTAGTAACTGGGGCGACATCAGATATGATGGACCTTTATACGACTGCGGAATCCTTCAACGATGGCCAGTTTGAAGCAATGAGCCTAGATCAAAGACATACGCGTAATTATGTTAATGAACTGCTAGGGCATTGGGATGACAGCAACATACAAAAGGTATACAGTTGATAAACATTCAACATATTTATCAAACTTCCAGGCTATAAATCACGAGTGTATATTTAACATAAAACTAACGGCATGATAAAAAATCAATAACGTTCGGTATATGCTAATAATTTGAAAAAGACTTTAATGGGGTGGGGGGTGCGAGTGATTTATATTGTGATAATTCTCTTCGCTCTGCTACTGACAAACTTCTGCTTGTTGAGCTTCCGGTCTACTGCTGTAGATTATGCGCTTATTATTGTTATTATAAAAAAATATTATATAAATATATATATATATATAAATATAAATATATATATATATATATATATTAAATTATATTTATTATAAATATTATATTATTATTAAATCTTACTATTATTTATTAATCATTATTATTACAGGTGAAGGTAGCTCTTTACGAGGATGGAAGTGAGGTCATGCACATGATCTTTGACGGCGTTGGTTCAAATCATATGAGCTTTTTCCAAAACCAGAACCTGATATCTTCACCATGGAGTGACCTACCTTCTTCTCAAACAAACTTCTTTAGTATTGAAGGACACGCGTAAGATATTACGTTCTTTTTAATTGTATAATAAAACATACAAAACCTTGTTATGCCAATGATATGTACGATATAAGACCATGGAGGTATAAAATTAATTTTATACCTCCATGATAAGACTAACGTCTAATCAACCTTGTTGTGTATTCATTCCCACTTATTTATGCTAAATACACTCTTAATTCCCAAAACTAATTTAGTTGAAATAGTAATATTTCTTCATTCTTGTCATATCACTGATGTAGAAAATTGTTTCGTAAAACTGATTGGTTTCAAACTCCTACTCATCAATTCTCAGAGAAAAATCACACCGTGGGGAGGCTATGCAACATAGAATCAGCATTTCTAGTTTATTACCAGTTGATATTTTTAATTATTGTTTTATAAAGAGACAGAAGCTACCATATTCAGTGGTGGATTCAAGGGGCGGGGTGATCCCCACCGGGGTGAGGGGGAACCCATCCTAAAAAGAATGAGAGTGCAATTTCTGGCCATGTAGAGGTGCCACATCACAAATGTTCCACCTCAGCCCCAACCATGGTGGGGTTCAAGTGGTCTAGATCCTACATCTGTGATGTAACTGCTGGTACCCTCCATTTTGAATTCCTGAATCCGCGACTCATATTTCATGCACAAGTTAAGTACAACTTTAAGCCGTGTTACGGTTTTGTCTTTTTTTTTATTCTTTATTCTTTTTATAAGAAAATTATGCAACTGTAATATATAGCCCACATGAAAGGTGATGAAGTTCAGACAACCAGTCAACAGTTATAGTATTTGTTTCAGTATTTAGCAATACGAGGTTGTTATCGGCCCGAAATGTGTGACACACATACACATTTTGCATTTGTTATCTGTTAATGTATTTTGGAATGATCGATACAACATAAAACAGTACTTATTAAATTAATTGGCAAATTTCACCTGGAATTTCAATCCTTCATTGGTAGAAACTGAAAATGTTGACATCTTCATTTTTTGATACAGAGATGCTGCTAGGAGGTGGTATATCAACAAATCCTACAATGGATGCGATAATGATACAGGATGGTTTCTTGTTAAACCAGGCATACCCGCACCTTGTCCATACGAAGAATGCATTGCTTACCCATGCTTTACTTACAACAGTATGGAAACTGTAGATACCTGGAAAACTGGTAAGGAAAATTTCAAGAATTCTATCAGGTATACATGAATGTGCTTACATTAAAAAATACATGTCACGCATGTACAACTTATACAGTTAGAGCAGGGCTTACTTAAATAAGATACAATATAAACACTCCTGTATAAGTGTATAGTACCGGTATAATTATTTTAAAAAATGCAGGAACTGACGAGGATCGGGTCACTAGGGTACTTGCACCCAAGAAGCCTTAATCAGGGCCTCGGACCTCTTTGTTATGCCACAGATTAGTTGATTATAATGTACAGCAACAAAATCTTTCAATTCTGTAAGTAAAGTGCGATGTAACATACGTAAACCAAACATTTCAGGAGGTTTCCAGTTAGATTTACAAGGTAAACCGGCTTCTCAAAGCAGTGTTGCTCATGGCGGTCAGCCAGAGCGTGCTATAGACGGAAACACAGACAGTGAGTATTCATCAGGAGGAAGCTGTATACATACAGGTAGGCAGAACTTCCAACATATCAAGTTTACATGGGTTATATTAATCCGCAATCTGATTGTGACAACTGAATTAGTTAAGCCTATTCCGGGATCGTGCTCGCCCTTTACGCTGGAGAAAACGTTTAGGATTGGATAGGATTGTGATTGCATGCGATATAGAAACGTTTTTTTTTTACAGGTTACGTTTTTTTTTTACAGGTTTCTTCTTTCATGTTGTGAAAATATAATTTGTTCACTTTTTGTAATATTTACATTTGGTTAATAAAGAAAAGGTACATGTATATACTAACATGCCATCTATAAGATTACTAAAGCAAATAAATGTACAAAAATGACCTATTATTGTCATATATATTATTATTACCTATTATTGTCATATTTTCATAGTAGCAGCAGCAGTAGCAGCAGCAGCATTATTATTATTATTATTATCATTGTCTATCGTTTCAAAATAATTTTAGCTATTGAAAATTTTAATTGGTGGAAAGTTGACTTACAAGAGACACTGACTATTACAAGAGTTCGGATTTATAACAGAGCTGGTAAGAAAAATGTTGGCCATATCTTACGACCTGAACGGTTACACTCTTTTATACATAACCACAAAACCAGGTGCAAGAGAAGTATTTTCCATCTGGTCATTATTATTAGCTTACAATAGTCAGTAACAACTTGAAGTCTTTGTATTTGAAAGAAAAATGTTCTTACTCCACACTACTACATTTTTGTTAAGACTGGTATTCATTGGCAACACTGATCAACCTCACACTTGGTCTAATTAGTGTGTTTATTTTGCCGGCTATAAAGTGCACCCAAATTAAACATCATGGATGCTGTGTTAACGAATAGGCATTCTCCTGTTTAAATATCCACTACCTCGCATTGGAGTTTTGGAACAATTAATATTTCTACCATAAATGCACAGTATTTTTACACAAAATACAAGAATTACGTGATTAATTAACTTAACAGTATTAAGTCATAATACAAGCTTCTGCGTTCAGTTGGCATTGTTAAAGTGTATTGTCCTTGTTACATAGGCCTACCCCCTTGGCCGCCGTACCAATAAACTGAGGATGAATTCAAATCTTAGCAAAGATATAAATGAAAATATCCAAATGAAAAATATATATTCAGAAATAGATAAGCTACATACAGTAATCACTCAGTAATGACCACCAATTGAAACCGTTTATCCCATTGGTCTTTGCAGATTGTTGCACACACCGGATGATTGGAGGTGTAATTCGCTTTGGATTAAATGAAGATATTACCTTGAATGCTATGTGTGCAGAGATTGTCACATCTGAAAAAGTCCAAAATGGACCAGAAATAAATATCGATTGCGCTGGTTTATTTGGCCGATATCTTAGCCTGTCGATTGATAACGGTGAAAGCCTTCAGATATGCGAAATCCAAGTATTTTCCTGTAAGTAGTATTTTACACTGATGAATTACTGGTAACGGTAAAGGCTGCAAACTTGTATAGCACATAATTCTGGTCCCAATGCAAAAAAAGAAAAAAAAAAAAATTAAGTTTTAAAAAGTATATTCCTACCATTTCATTAATGTTTGGGCATTTTACACCTAATGATTATTTATTTTATCTTTACAGCCACATTTAAAACAGTCAACGTCTTCGGTGTTTCTGTGCAACATTCAGGTAAATATTGTACATTAATTTTTCAATGCAAGTTTTGTTTTATTGTAGGAGAACTTTTAGTATGTTTAGGTAATCCTCGGAATTGTTTTGTATTCGTTTTTTTTATATTGCCTGGAAATATTATTATTTATTATTATTATTATTATTATTGTTATTATTATTATTTTTATTATTATTATTATTATTATTATTATTATTTTTATTATTATTTTTATTATTATTATTGTTATTATTATTATTATTGTTATTATTATTATTATTGTTATTATTATTATTATTATTTTTATTATTATTATTATTAATATTATTATAATTATTGTTATTATTATTATTGTTATTATTATTTTTATTTCCATTATTATGTTTATTACAGTATTATTAAACATCATCATCCTAGTCATTACTATTACTATTTCCATCGTCTTCACCGTCACCTCCTAGTCATTACTATTTCCATCAACTTCACTGTCACCACTCTCGTCGTCTTTGTGTTGAATTTTTATGATTGCGACCTGCCATATTTTGAAGCGTCCAGCAACTTTCTAACTTGTACTGTATGTCACGATTATATAATTAGGTTTATTTTCCACCTCTTCCTAATGAACGTTTTCGGAGTGTCAATCAAACTTAATAACTAACCAATCAAAACAGTGGCAGGAATGCACGCGTCCAACAAACAAATACGCGCATTGTCCCAAAAACGAACGTGGATACGTACAATTACGCTATCCGTTTGTGGACCTTGGCAACAATATCCACGAGGAGGGGCTTAGCAAAAAGGTCCACGAGGAGGGGCTTAAGGTCCATTACGGTGTCCCTCTGATTGTCTTGTCAAGTGTCTTCAATTAATATATCAAGGAGAAAACTGCAATAAAAGGTTTGACATTTTCGTAGTTTTACACAAAATTAATTTTGCTTTTGCAGATATCACTCGGTTTTGTCGTAAGCTTGATTTTCGTGATGGTTTTTTGGATGACATCCCATGCAATCAACAAGTGTTACCAGCCATTTGTAAAGTTGACCTTGGTAAATACAGTATTCGTTTTCAAATTTCAAACGTGCAAATGTTTTTTTAATAGCCGCATACTCACTCTTGACTAAACAGGTACATAATAAAATCTGTCTCATTGTTAGGCAAGACAAAAGAGAGAAAAAAAAAAGAAACATGCAAGTCAACTATACACAAAATTGAATGGTCGTTAATTTTAGGTTGTTATCTTTTGTGATCCTTCAATATAAAAATTAATCATTTTTTAGACTGTGACGTCATGAATGGATATTGTAGTCACGCATGCATCAATAACGTTAATGGTGCAGTATGTACTTGCCCAGATCCTTTAATACTAGGAGATGATGGATTAACATGTGGTAAGTTCGTTCCTGCACAATCTGTGTATATTATGTATGTGGCTCCTCTTACACAATGGTGTCATAATTTAAAGGTTGCATAATTTTATTTTTTTGCTAGCATTCCGTGATTGGTTGGGTTTTTCTTTGTAATTATACAGTGCATATCCACAAATATTGTACATGCTATATATACATATATAACAGTAACTTTTTATGCAATAAATTGTATGAATTATTGAGAATATTAATGTTATTTGTTCTTAATCACTAGCTGTTTTAATTTATGTTTGGTCAACCTCCAATGAGAATGCATTTTATCTGTGTTAATATACCATAAAATCTCGAAAAGAAGCTCCAGTTTGCCAACGAAATCTCGAAAAGAAGCCCACCTCGAATAGAAACCCATGGGCTTTTAATCAAGATAATACAGGCTTCTTCCGAGACAGTACAGTAAGTTTAATTTTGTACTGACATTATTTTTTTGTTATTATGAGAGCGTGTCAGTATCAATATTATTTCATTGTACTAGCATGGTTAAAATTGAAAAAAAAAAAATTAAACAGAATTTTGAATGTTACAGTTGAAAACAGTCGTGTAGCAAATCTAAAATTTACAGTATTCATTTTGAAAAGAAGCCCATCTTGCTCTATGGTTCCTAAAAAAAATACCAAAATCCCAGGGCTTCTATTCAAGGTTTGATGGTATATATGTTTGTATAGCCAATATATTATTGTTAAATATTTTAAATAAAGGAATATGCATGCGTGTACATAACTATTCACATGTTGCATTTTCTTCTATGGTGTTTTTTGACTACTATTATGATAAAAAGAAAAAGTCAAGTCGTCGTCTTCCTGCTTTTCTTGATATTATTTTTTTCAGTTGTGGTAATCAGAGTTTATGAGAGAAGAGATTTTAAGATTGTTTGGAGGGCTGCCAAAATCTGATTCAAGAACATTTTTCTTTACAAAGCAATAAAATACACAAAAGCAAAGAAAATGATGTCAGTATTTGTTTATTTTGTTCACAGGTGTCTTGAATACAATATCTATAATCAGGCACTCACCGCGCCTGATGGTTGTCGGACGACGCGATTCTCTAAAGAACGCAACTCCATGTTGAACGCACAATGGATCATTTTTAATGATGATCCGTTGGACTGCTACCAACAATCAGCAGACAGCGTCGCGTCATCTCGCGCTCATAGGCAGCGGGGTCGGATTCGTCGGCCGACAGCTGTACATCAGTGACGCAGTGAGTGCCTCGCTTTCAATGTCAACCAGACGCGATGGTTGATAGTTATTTTATTAAGAAGAGAGTGGGCTAACCTTTGAGAAAATACCAGTATAGGAGCTCAATTCCTGTATGGTAAAAGGAAATTTCTCCCAACCAACAACACCTCCACAACCTATGACTGTGTCTAAGTAGAAGCTTCTGGTGTGTACAAGTGTGTTGTGGTTCACCCTTTGGCATATCCTTGGCTCTTATGCCTCATGTTGGGGAAACAAACTCTAACACACATAATTTTTCATTTCAAATACTGGTACTGGTATGGGCATTTATAAAGCGCCTCTTCCTTGAGGTCATAAAGTGCAGTTCTTTTCCCTGGTCATTGGGTCTACATGCTTAAGTGTTGCTGCTGTAATCAGCACAGGAGCAGGCGACCCCACCAGGTTCCTATTTATATTTCTGGGTGGAGAGAAGCAATGCAGATAAAGTGTCTTGCTCAAGGACACAAGCGAAATGCACAGCGAGGGATTGAAACCCCGACCTCAAGATTAGGAAACTAAACCGTTCCCACTGTGCCAAACCACCTCCCATATATGATGATCAGACAGAGCAACTTATCTTCGTTATTAAAGGTTGGCATTGTAGTTTGGGATCTCAACTTTAAGTGTCATGCTAATGAGTAAACTAAAAATGTAATGACCCTCTATTATCTTTAAAACATCCAAGGACAACGAGTTTTGTAAACAAATAAAACAGCGTACTTCAGTGACTTGGTACCACAACATAAGGTTGATATGGTACCATCTTGCCTTTTTCCCCACATGAAAATATCCACTTAGGCCGAACGAAAATAAGACGAGCATTTTCATCAAGTGCCTGAAAGAAACATTATTGGTTTTTATTTTAAATATAAATTTTTTCATAAACAATTGACGAGTAACAAATAAATAATAAAAGAATGAATGAAAGACTAGAATAATAAAGGAGTAAATGAACAAACTAATGGATGGATGTATGAATGAATGAACAAAGAAATTAAGACTGAAAAAATGAATTTGTTAAATGAATAAAAGAACTAATGATTGAAGGAATGTGATGGAAGAAAGAACGAACAGAATACTAACCTGGTCAAAGTTGTCATCCCATTGTGACTTTGTAATTATGTGTGAAACATTGTCTGACATATAATCTTCAAGTTCACTAAAATGGATAAAAAGATTCAATGTTAAATACATTTATATATATATATATATATATATATAAAAATTCATATCTGATCGATTTAGTCGATGAAGTTCCACGTATGTCTCGATTGTATAAAATAACACTGCAGTTGTTAACATAAACGCCGGACACTTTGACATAATTTGAGACATGTACATTTATTCAACGAAATTTTCGGCAGCACCTGCTGCCTTCGTCAATCAATATATATATATATATATTGATTGATCCATAACATTGTTCTTACAGATTTTCTATTCTTTTCACAGTTCATTAGTTTAAGATTATATATAGTGTATCGTATCTAGTTAATACAGCCAAATTACCATCTCTTCCTTCAGACACTGACGGAGACAGATATTATGATTAATAATAAGACTTATAGCAAAAAATTACATTAGAAAATACGATTACAATTAATAATAACATTGATATTAAAAACTGTAAATAATATTATTACGGTAATGATTAATGTAAGTTAATTACAAAACAGTGGATTTAGAAAATAAAATCTAGTAAATATAAGTACTCACCCATTAAAAGCAGTAATATATCGAAATAAGTGCCTTCTCTCCAACTCGTCAAATTTACCAAACAATAGAAAGTGCTTGTCCGTAAAGAAGTCTGGTAGTTCTGGAATATTGCCTCCAGTGTCATTATCTGCTTCATCGATGCGCGACACTTTTGTGTTTTTTACTTGTTTGCTAACATTTTCAGTGTCAGAGTCGATATCTGTTGAACTTCCATAATCATCATCATTGCCAGTATTTTGTTGGATTCTGACAATATAATAATTCAATTATAAAAATAATTTACATGGTCGGAGGTTAACAACTTTTCTCCAGGCCAGACAAAACTGATAAATTTAAATGAAAAGCAAATTTGCTGTGCTTTTAGCTGCTAGTTAAATACTACTACCAGTAAGACCATTACTACTCCTATTACTAATAAAGATAAGATGATGCTTAAAATACCAAACTCATTAGAATCAGGGATGTAGCCAGGATTTTGAAATGGGGGAGCCGTTATACCAAGCGAAGATGGGGTGTTCCCCTTCCTACAGCTGTGGGGGGCCTGGGTGGGGGCTAATCCCCTGGGAGGTAGTGCATTCTGAACGTTTAAGGACTGTTTTGAGAGGATAAAGTGAAATTTGCAATAGACACATCATAAATAGGCCTAATATTAATAAGCCTTACAATAATTATAATAACTCAATAGTGGCGAATCCAGAAATTCAAAAGAAAGGCGACCCATGAAGGGACTTTCACAGACGGAGGGTCTACCCACCTCAGCCCAAACATGGTTGGGGCTGAGGTTAGAACATTTATGATTAGTGCACCTCTAGATGGCCAGAAATTACACTCTCAGACTTAAATTTAAAAATAATTTTCTCTTTTTCCATTAAAAAAAATTAGGACTCGGAGGCGGGGGGACCTTGAATCTACTGCTCCCCGCTCAAAAAATTTCTGTATTTATCAAAAATAGTCATTATAATCACGAAAAATGGGCATGAAAAACGAGATCACATTCTGAAAACAATATTTATGCACGTTCCCCTCAGCAGTTACTAAGACATACTACGAGTCACATGCCGACTCTTGACATTTTTGAAACTTTTAACAAAATTCATCATCATCATATTATCACCATTATAATAGTCAAAATAAAGCAGCAACAAATTTGTCATTATTTTTTATCACAGATTTTTGGCAACCATATTATCTTATTAATATGTGTGATGTACCATAGAAAATAAAAACATTGCCTTTGATGCAAGTACTTTACAACCACCTTAGCCCACCATGGTTGGGGCTGAGGTGAGAAAAGTTTAGGAAATAATACCTCTAGATGGCCGGAAATGACACTTTCAAATAGTAAAATTTATCATCATTGTCACATCACCGTATTATAGTCATAATGAAGCGCCAAAAAATTTCTCATGATCTTTTATCAGGTATTTTTGGCAACCATAGAGATCCAAATATACTAAGCTTCAACTACTATAATAATTATGATGGACAAATCACAACTTTCCTTTTCGCCTTCAGCACAATTTTTATTATTAATAATATTATTAACTATTATCATAATCACCATCGTCGTCATCATCATCATCATCGTCATTATTATTAGTACTACTTTAGTAGTATTAAACAAAACTTTATAAATGCTTGCAAAAGGATAACAATCAAACTGAACCATACAATATCACATTTCTGTATTTTAAAAGGCCTGGGTTTTATGGATTTGAGACGAATTTAAGTTTTTTTTTTTGTTAAGTAAGTTTGCTAAATCCACTCCTTGAGCAGTAGCCATTATAAACCTGAACATTTATTTTTTGCATTAATATCTTTTTCAGTGAAAGATTGATTAATCTAATGAATATTCCACTGGGTTACTATCAGGTTAGCGAGTGACTTTTGTTGATAGAAGTTTATGGTGGGTTCCTATTAGAGCACAGGTCACAAACCTATAGTAGAAGCAGTCAATTAGAAATTGTACAGCATTTAAATCAACACCAATGTGCTAATGCATATTTGCATATTTTAGAGAAGTATTCATTTTGAGTGATCCCAGGAAAGAATTTGTAGGCCTATTGGCTAACAAGAACAAGCGTTAAAATTCTAACTCTTTACAAAGGGGGGGGGGGGAGCTGTGGCTCCCACGGCTCTCCCCTGAATACGTCCCTGATTAGAATACAACAAAATACTCATTTGAATGTAAGGGTTGTAGCTGTAGAAAACTAAGAATGGGTGGTAGACATTTTAAGGGTGTGTGGTAGACATTATAAAGGTGGGTGATAAATCCTAAAATCTAAATAATAAGACTGGATTTTAAGGATGGGCAATGGGGTTAATAAAAGTGGGTAGAAGGCCATGAGATTGGCTTTAGACTGGGTGGAAAACTTTAAAGTTTTTTTTTCTATTTAAGGCCCTGCCCACCATAACAAAATCAATTATTTCACCTGTTTATTTCATCTTCAGTGTCAGATCCGGAGGATTCGTCTACATGACTTGCGTGCATGATTGACGTCGATGCTTCCATTGTTTCTTCATCATCTTCTTCATCATCCTATAATTAAAATTAAAAATAAAAAAATTATTTTTCAAATTGCCTCCAAATGGAGAGTACTGTAAACAAATATAACTAAAAAAATATTACTTATTAATATCATCAAAGTTAATTACAGTACATAAGTACAAGCTCATATGACAAGCAACTAACCAAATACACAAGAAAAAATAAATGAAAGTACAGGTAAACCTAACTAAGGGAAGCATAGTACCTGTGCAGCTTCAAGCCTTTTTGTTTCTGTTTTTGATGTTGACTTTTTTTCTGGAGAGGTAATTTGTTCATCTTCATCCTCTGTTTCATCACTAGAGCTGTCATCTTTACTTGCTAGTTTGTACCTACGGTAACAAAATACAATACAAATAAATTACATACATATACACCATAACAACACAGACAGTCTGCGCGAATCTTATCATGATACAATACAAATACAATACATACATATACACCATAACAACACAGACAGTCTGCGCGAATCTTATCATGATACAATACAAATACAATACATACATATACACCATAACAACACAAACAGTCTGCACGAATCTTATCATGATACAATACAAATACAATACATATATATACACCATAACAACACAAACAGTCTGCGCGAATCTTATCATGATACAATACAAATACAATACATACATATACACCATAACAACACAAACAGTCTGGGCGAATCTTATCATGATACAATACAAATACAATACATACATATACACCATAACAACACAAACAGTCTGCGCGAATCTTATCATGATACTGATAGTACTCATATTTCTTATTCTTCTGACAGAAAAAAAAATTCCTCCAGAATAAAATCTTCTCTAGCATCCAAAGATATGCTGGATCTGACTATTGAAGGAGGACTTAAACTGAGTTACTTTCTTAGCTTAACCAATAAAAATTACATATAAAATTATTATTATTAATAATCTAAATAATTTGAAAATTATTGATATAATCATTCATTAGTTATTAACTAAAATAAAACATTTTACAACTCCTGAAGCGTAAGTTAAAGTTTAGCCACTTGCACATAACATTAATGTAGTATATTGCTTACTGTCTCCATGGCAATAACATCTTTTTCTTGTAAGAATCCAGGATCCATCCTTTGTTGACTATTTTTCCTTTGCCTCTCACAGACTGGTACTTTGGTGTGTTAGCAAATGCACATCTGGTTGGTGAACAGATTTTAAATTTTAAAACCATAATGTGAGACAACACTGAATTTAAATTAAATTTTAAAACATTTATATAACAAACTTCAAGGGTAAACTGCACCCTTAACAATTTTTGAAATTGGCACATTATTAATTTTTGATTATAATTATTGATTATTGTTATTATGATATAAGGGCATGTGCAGTTCAAACAATGAATTGGCTTACTCAGAAAAATTTAACCGTATCACACTGTTCACAGCATGGTTAATCTTCCTACACAATGCGCATTTGGTTGAATTTCCAAGGAGAAAATTATGCAGGTTGTTTAGAGAGGATTGTTTTTTTTTTGTGAAATATATTAAGGTACATAATTTAATCTCTGTCCACACTATAAAAAAGTGTGATATGCCCATATTTGGTTATAATATGACATCATCATGCCCATATATGGCATATCATACAAATTTATCACATAAAATTCTGGACAAAGCTTTATAGGAAAATTAATTGAATGTTAACATGGCTTCAGTGTTGATTGACAGTTTAATGTAAATAACTCACATGAGATGTGTGCAGCCTTGCCCCCAGTCTGGTTTGTACCTTGCCCCCATCTCTATTGCTTTGTCTCGAATATCACTACGATGTGGGTTTTGGTAACCACTTATTACAAACACAACACCCTCCATTAATTTTCCAAAAGGTTTTTTTGGAGATGATTTGGCCACATCCGCTGAAAAACAAGTATGTAGTCTGTAGACATTGTTCATGGCCAACTTACAGCTAAATGATAAATTATTCGAAGTCTTTAACATACTGTAGGTTCTCATTTACACTCCTGGTAGGAGGAGTCTAAACATAGATGAGTATTTGGGGAGTGATGTGACCAGTATCAGATTCGAACCTACAACCTTTTGGTCAGAAGTCCAAAGTCACACTGCTGTGCGACATTAAAAAAAAAAATTCAGTGGAGGATGAAGACTCATCATCATACATTTTCGCTTTTTCATCGGCGGTACTTGTTGTGGTTCAGTCTTCCGCTTCGAAGGCTCTGTATTTTTTGGTGACTGCTTAGGTCCATGCTTCTCAGCAGTGTGCTTTTCTTGATCAGTTGACTTTCTTTTACTAGAGGGAGTCTAAACAAAATTAAAATAGTTTGGTTAATTTATGATTTCAAATACTGCAAGTATTCTCTGTAAACTGGTTTTATATTTGTATACTAAGTATGGGATCTTTGTATGTAATGGCAAGCAAAGAGTTTCCCTTAGTGGAATAATAAAGTTATCTTTATCTTATCTACAGACTCTGAGCAATAATGGAACAATAATATCATAATATACTTTCTGAACATATTGAATATATTTAGCAGTTACTGTTTAAGTGATCTACACTTGTTTCTCTTCACCAACAATCATAAAGGTGTGCCTGGTAGGTGGTGAATGTTGTTTGTTGAATGTATTTCTTATATGCTCAATTTGCAAAACTAGGAATTATCTTCAGGAGGCAGAGAAGGTATACATTTTATACAATATTACTTTTTATAGGGCAAAACTTATATAATGTTTTGAGCTATTCAAAGACTTGAAAGTGCTTTGTAAATGCCAACAGTTATTTTTATCTATATTATTAAAGGAATTAATTACTATAAAATAAAATAAATTATTTATGTTACCACTTTGTACACACCTGCTGTTTTTGGGTAAGAGTTGCTATCCTTTGTTCGTCAGCAGTTTTGCTATGGGAGGAAGCTTGAATTGACTGTTCTGCTAAAGATGATGCTGCCCTCACTGCTGCTGCCCCTTTTAAAATGGTAGGCTCTGGTTTCTCTTGATTGCGACTCTTGAAAAGCGAACCAATGGTCATGCTTGGTTGGTTTGTTTCTTTCAATTTGAAATGACCTAGCTTGTTGACCTTATATAGAACAGAAAAAAAGTCAATTTGTAGTTTGAACTGCACATGCCTGTATCCATTACAATTGACATAATTCTATATTGTGTATTGACATTGATACAGGCATGTAAACAGTTAAAATTAAGAACTGGCTTATTTTAATAGTAATAATTATAATAGTAGTAGTAGTATTAATAATGATTATGATTATGATGATGAAAACAACAATAATAAACACATGCAGGCACAAAATATAATTTTAGGCTAAATAGCTTTGACAATAATAATAATAAAACTATAATGATAATATTTTTGAATTACATTTAAAATTTTACTTCAATTTGAATAATTTCAATATGTATAAAAATAAGAAACTAAAACCGCCTATCTATTACAAAAATACAAAAAAAAATAAAAATAAAAAAATGGGAAAACCCTAAATTATTCTAAAAATGAAGATTACTTTGGGAGCAATGTATGTATGTATATAAGTATAACTCATAACCAGGTTGTTGAGTATTAATATAACCATAATAACAATTGTTGTCTTATTTACAAACCTGAGTCTTAGCATCTTTTCCCATGTCAGATGACTGTTCACCGGGTGATGGGGTTGAGTGAAGCTTAATAAAGGATAGGCCATATGTAATGTTCTGTTGGGTAAATACAAAATATATCAATTGTTTACATAGTAAACAACTTTGTTCATATTATTATTAATTATATTTACAGTAATAATCAAAATGTATTTTTTTAAATACTCATAGGAGAAACAACTATGAATTAGAGTATGTTTAGAATAAATACAAAAGAAAAATAAAACTAAAAAAAACCCATTTTGACTCCATCATGTGGTGTCCAACAGTTATGTTTAATATTATTTATAAAATAGAAGCCTGCACTTGGTGTATGTTGATTACTTTCTGCTAGTTTCATTTTTAATATTGTAATATGTCATTTAAGATGGGCGACAGTGAAAGATTCCAAGGCATATCCCTCAATCCCAACAAACACCTACATACACAATAATTTATTATTCAATTAGCAAGCTAATGCAAGGCGTACCTTGTTAAAAGGCTGAGTGCAAACGACCTTAACACGATCCCAACTTTTGTTTATCACAGTTTTTGTTAACTGGTTTGGTCCAAAGAATCGAACACGATTAGTATTTGTACCATTCTTGCTGTCACCTGGGCTCATAAATGATGATGTCACAAGTAAAACCTTAAAAAAAAAAGCTCAACAATTTTGAAATTTTTAACTATGCAATTAACATTGCAAGTAATATGGAGATGATCATACAGTGTTTTCAAAGGTAATTTCAAACAACAAATTCTCATCCATAGTATCTTTCTTAGGCAAGACTTTTAGTATATCTTGTTTTGCAAACTTATGTTTTTAAAGATCGTCAAAGAAGGGTGGGGAAAAAAAACTATCTTCATATTTAGCAAATAGTTTTAGCAAAAACATTCAAAACGGAGGAAAAAATAAAATGTTATTAATGAATGTAAACAGTGTAGTAATGGGATGGTTTTGAATTTTTGAATTGAATTTGAATAATAAAAATAAAGAAAACATTCTATTTTTTATGAAATCTTCATTTTATTGTGCTGCCGGGTGTGCTAATTGACCAAAAATAAAATGTTATTTTTTATTTGAATCATAATTAAATACGAAAAATAACATTTACCTGGTAGTCTTCGTCACTTGAAGACTTGCCAACTAAAACCTCTACAAATGCGGAGCCCTCGTTCCCTATATCTAGGGAATTGATAGTGCTGGACTTTTCAAACTAAAGACAAAAAATAAACACGGTAAAATAATAATATTCACTCTTGTGCCTAATCTACTGGTTGTTCTCATATCAATTTTACGGTCATAAATCAAAACAAAGCAAAGTTTACATTAATAATACAGTGAAAGACAAACAGACTCAAAAAAAAAAAAACTTTCACTTGTCAAGTTTCGGCATTAGAAATTATAAATTAAATTAGTAACAAAAACCGAAAGGTCCACTGATTAATCTCAGATAAGAAAGTATAATACATACTCCAAGTATTGAAATACACGCCATCGTGTTGGGATTCAATATTTCGACATTAATTATGTCATCATCAGGAATGATGACATGATGACATAATTAATGTCGAAATATCGAATCCCAACACGATGGCGTGTATTTCAATACTTGGAGTATGTATTATTCTTTCTTATTAGTAACAAAGGAATAGTAATAGCATGATTACCAAAAAAAAATATAAATATTATTTTTTTAAATTAGCATCGCTTAATTTTTTTTTTTTTTTTAAGTTTTAATATAGCTTTCATTTGAAAATGGGAAGAAGTATTTTTGTGGCTTCATAAAAACCACACATTTATAAAGAATACCATTTTTCAATTCTTATTTATTTATCTGACAATATTTTGAAAGGGTGGCTCAACAATGACGACTTGAAGAGGCCCTCTTTTAAATCAATTTAAATAGAGATCTATATAAAAACTCTAACTGCAATGATTAAAATATTAGAAAATTTAAAATATTTCATAGAAGACCCTTAAATTGCCTGGTAGACAATTTATGAAATTTTTTAGTACAGTAAAATAATAGGAAATTAAGGCAAAATTGTATTGACCCTGCCCATGCAAGTTGGTAATTCAGTTGATTCGTTTAATGATTGAATAATGTTTTAATAACTTCTTATTGTTGTTGTTAGATTTAACAAAACTACTGTACGTTAATAAAAAAAAAAACTATCACAAACTATGGCATATATAATGGATCATGTTGTTAAAACAATGAAAGTTACCTGTAATATAACAGTCGCCTGTTTCTAAACTAATAATGGCATATATTATGGATGATGATGTTAGAACTGTGAAAGTTACCTGTAATATAACAGTCGCTTGTTTCTCTCCAGCAGTTGCACACTTCCATTTTCGATACGTTTCTGTCTTCAGCAAATTATCAGCTTTGTGAGTCTATAGACATGAAACAAGTCTAAAAATGTTGAGTTTCGGATAATTGCTTTTACTGAAATTGGTGTTAATTTGTTTTAAAACATTTATTTAATCATTTGGAATACTTTCTGCACTCTCACTTTCAGTTTCTAACATTTGCACTATAGAGCCTTTCAGAGATAATAAAGAGGTTATAATGTACAGATACAGTATGTGGGAATTTTAATTTATCAGTTATTTCCTTGTTCATTTTGCCTCTCATGATAATTAACTTTTTGAGCATAACATTAATTTGAGTAACCATACCAATATTTACTTCAACTTAGCTATAAAATATATATTTTTTTTAATTTTCTATATTCTTCTTTTTCACGACACTCACATAGAAAGTGTCTGTCACAGAAAACATTGTTATTTCATGCATTGAGTACTTAATAGCATCAGCTCAATTCCAATCACACCCTTAAAAAAAACATTTTTTTTCTAATTTAAAACATTTTTCAAAAAACTTAAAATTTCATGTTTAATGATACATACAAACCATAAACAGGTGGGCCTAATGCACTCTACATTTTGTAAACAATAAAGTATTTTATGTACAGTATGTACTTACTGTATATTTAATAATATTCATAATTCACATAATTTTTAATATAAAAATAACGCTAAAAAGAAAAGATCGACGTTTCGACTCCTTCATGGTGTCATTTTCAAGATCAAATGATGAAGTATAGAATATACAGCAACTATATTCAATAGAAAAAAGCTAATCTACAATGTCAAAGTTCATAACAGTGGGATATTAATCCCTCTGTTAGATAAAAAAATTTGCTTTGACAGAGTCACATTGTTTATTCAGACTTGGTTTTAATTGTCTAATAAACAGCATTTCATGAATGAGACAGTCAACATTGTTCCTACATTTCTTTAAAATGCTGAAACATGATTCAATACTGCTTGGGCTGATATTATGGTCCTTAGTGTGTTGTCCTAACAGAAATCTAATTTTGGATCCAAATCCACCCGACCCCCAGCGATGTGCTTCTGCTTTGCCGACGCTGTGCGCATGCAAACCAAACCAATACAAACCATTCTAGTAAATTATTATATTATATTATATTACTATGGATGCAATATTTTATTGTGCAGTATGATCATTCAGGCCCCGAAACCTTGACTCAGAAATACCGGGATGGTGTCCGGCGGGGGATAGTTTCACCTGTATATTATATAATAATATAATACACTACAACCAACCATACAAATTTGTCTCGGTTCTTTTTTTGTTACTGATTGTCTTGAGTGAGTAGAGTATGATGATACAACTTCCAAAGTGCTATAAGCCATACAGTACATCTTATTTCTTAAAAGAAATAAAAAAGAAAAAATATACCATACTGGTTTCTTTGGTGTTTGTATCATGCTACGGTAGGCTCTTGTTAAATTACCAGTACTGTAGTACTAAAGTAGTAGTTTTTTTTTTGTTTTTCTTATATTTGCCTAACTAAAAAATTACCTCTTTAATAGGCCTATATATACAATTTTTTAAATGTATGGCCTCTCAAATCAATTAAACAACACCTGTAATGTCTAGAATGCTGGAGCTTCCAGGGACTTCGCCCCCCGACCCCACTAGTCTTCACCCCTGCACCCCACCGGGAGCCCTTGGCAGCCCCGACCCCCAGCCAATGGCCGTGCTCCCTTCGCTCATAAATGCCCTTTCAGTATCAAAAGAACCCCCTATCAAAATCCTGGCTACGGGCTTGATGTATCCGGTATGTTACGTATAGGCCTACTCAGTACTGGGCCTAGGCCTAAAATAGAAGTGTCAATTTGTGAGCTAAAGAGACTGCATTTGATTTAAACGCGGTATCGGCTAACTCGTACCTATGCCAACTCGAAACCACTTTGGCAAACCTGTGAACAACTACAATTTCAACTACTGTATGCCTATGGGTACGAGTCCTCTAAAATGTAGGTACGAGTTGGTATTCAACGCAAGAAGGCCCGAGCAGGACTGCTACTAGCCTAGTACCGTACTAGGCCTGGCCTAGCCTAGAATATTTGGGCTTCTTTTCGTATTTTTATTGGCTATGTTTTTAAATATAAAAAATACATATATAATACAAATACATTAGACGAACCTCATCCTCACTGCTACATGAAATAACGTGTTGAAACTGAATTTCTGGCATGTTTGCTAAAACAACAACTGCATGCACTAGTAGTAGTAGTGAGCCCTCTATCAGAACCCCCTTTTTCTGATGATGATATGGAGCGTCAATCTTACTTTGTATCTTTACTTGTATTCGTGGGCCGTTGTGAAGCATGGATGCTTATTATATGGCCCACTCTTCCTCAGGTCACAATACTACTTTGTTGTGGCGTAAAATTTTGATGAGTGCCGATCCAGTCCATGTGCTAGATCAAAATTTGATGGATTTCACTGTCAAATTTGCTGTGAGTTTTTTTTTTTTATGTAGGCCTAAATCTAAATAAAAAGTCTATTCCCCAACCGCAAATTTCAAAGGTTCATGGATGGATCTATAATGTCCATAAAATATCACGAATGCTGGCTCGAGGGACTCCGACAACCAGGCGTAGCACAAATAAAACAATAATTTGATTCAAATTTGATTTGGCCGCTTTCGACATGTCTTTACATAAGATATTCCATACACAAATTATTATATTGTATTAGGCCTAATTATTATTATTATATTCACACCAAAAAATATGTTTAAATTGGTTTGAGAAGTTTCCCAAATTAATTACACACAGGTCTTGTATATCTGACGTGATTATATCCCAGACCTTTAAGAATCTAATAAAGGTGCTATAAAAAAAATAATTATTGTAATTATTATTATTATTATTATGATTATTGTTATTATTATTATTATTGTTAATAATAATAATTATTATTATTATTATTTTTATCATCATTATTATCATTATTATTGGGCCTATTATTATTATATGTTATGCTTTTGTTAATTATAATTATAATTATTATAATTATTATTATTGTTATTATTGTTATTATTATTATTATTATTATTGTTAATAATAATAACAATTATTATTATTATTATTGTTATTATTATTATTATTAATGCTTTTGAGGGATCAGTCAGATGCTTATTTGATCCTCCTTCCTCTTGTTGCTCTCTCCCATTATTTGCCTACTATGACCACTTTTCTAACTAATTTTATCCCAAATTTGTTTACCAAGAAATGAATTTTCTGTTAATTGTTTTATCTTCAAAAGGAAAAATAAACTTTGTTTTGGTGTTATTATGGCGAGGAAACGGCGACCACGACGTCGACTATTACAATAAAACAACAACAAAACAAACAGTAAAAAATAATAACACAATTTAGTAGGAGCTTCTTCAACTTCACTTTATTTCACTTGGTGCAAACATCATACATACAATTAAACAGTAGGCCAACTAGACAGTGGGGGAAAACCAAGTGGCGAGGCAAACAGAAAGCAAATAAAGTTTGTAAGCGTTTGTCCCGCGGAAAAATACCCCCACCAATAATCACTGAACTACAGCGAAATACCATTAAAAATCACCATAATCAAAAAAATCTAAGTGAACTGAAAAAAATAATTTTTACAGGAGATCTTTAGAAAATGAGTATTGAGAGTTACAGCTTGTAACTGATCTGGCAAACCGTTTCAGAGTTCTGAACCATAGTAAAAAATGTTTTTTCTGCCTGGAAGAGGGTCTGGCAAAAGGTATTTGTGGACTTCGCTATTTTTCTTAAAGTGTTGAGATAGCTGTATTAGGATCACACAGGATGTATATAATATCAGAGAGTGTGAATGCTAGTGTCAATTTATTTTATTTAGTAGAAAACGATGAGCCTCTCTCGTCTCCACGGTACAGCAACGGAAGGACTCCAGAGCAAATGTTAACACACAAATATGCAATTTAAAGTACTGTAATTTTAAGAAGCAAGTTAAACATTATTATTATAGGCTAATGATAAATTGTTTAGTGTCTTCAATTTGTAAACCTATACCTAAGCCTATATAAATTTTATACATATAAAAAATTGTATACGGGAGTCGCGGTTGAATTAGAATTCTTAACTAGGCTAAAAACTATTGTTGTATGAAGTTTTAAGTTTGGCATTGGACGTGCAAAATTAACGCATTAAGGTGAAAATCTATTTTCTTGCCATTCTTCGTAGGGCCTTAATCCACTCACAATTTGAAATTTCAAAAGTTGCAGAATGATTCAAATATGAAAATAACATATAAACACAGAGTAGAGATTTACAAAGTACTTGTTGGATCATGATCAAGTAAGAATTAAAATTACAAAAGTTCGAGAAGTTATTGCTTTTGTTTAAATTAAAAATTGATTAAGCAATATCTATATTACTTTATTGTCTATTACAGATCTATATTGCTTTTATTGTCTATTATAGATATGTATTACTTTATTGTCTATTATAGATCTATATTACTTTTATTGTCCATTATAGATCTGTATTTTTTACTGTCTATTATAGAATTCAAAATGTACCAATCGTGCTTATGACGCACGTAATAAAAATTAATGTCATAGGCCTTTATAAATATCATCTAATGAATAGAATTGAATTCGAAAGAATTTACACTAAGAATTATCTAGTCTAGTCTAAGAACTTTCTTGTAGGCCAAATAAAACTTTAATTTCGTGTTTTATGTTCTTATTTTACATTTCATTATTAAGGAGTTTGCAAATTGTTGAATTAATAGTATAAAATTGATTACTCAAGACAAAATAGCCCGCAGTTTTGTGGGGGAGGTCGTCATATACAGGTCCAAGTAGCTAAATCTAGAAATCTGTGGGTGGAGCTCCCACCACCCCACCCCTATCACTCTTGACTCAGCCGACAACAGTTCAAGTGATTCTGAAACTGTGTTACAATGGCAAGCACGTGGGTGGATTTGGCCTTACGTTATCCCGCTGCATCCACAGCGCAAGTCATTCTTAAATGTTGTTACTTAGTGTCAACGGTGAGTACGGCAGATCCTTTGAAAAATGTTTCTCTAAATGTCCTCTTAACTTTACAGACGTACTTGCCAGCATCCCCTTTGACAACACTATGTATGTACAAAATGCACCTTCCGCCTTCTTCAATGCAGGTAGTATACTTGCTGTCAGGGCGCGCAATGTCGTTTGTCGACGCCAACACGCTGCCGTTGAATTTGCCGTGTTCATTATAACGATACCACATTACACCTATTATGTCTTCACCTGGTGGTAGAATCCTACATTCGAGAAACGTGCTTTCATCGCCGATAAAGGCTTTCTGGTTGTAAACACGAACTGTGAGGTTGCCTGTAATATACAAATGTGAATGATAATGGATAATGCTATTCAAAGAACTGACACAGATAATGAACATTTTAACATTGCTCCGTGTTCATAAATATTTGAATTTATTCTAAACTTCCAATTAAGGTTTCAATAATTTTCTCTATACTATTTTACTGTATTTTAATCATAGACCTTATTTTATTTTTATATAACTAATGAAAAATTGTTTATATACTGTATGTTCATAATTAGGCAACATTTAATTAATATTTGTGAAATAGTTGAATTACCAAAAGTAATAATAACAGTGCTCGAATAAAATGACGTTTTGATTACTAGTGGATGTGTTTCTTCAATCCATAGCTACTATCATGTGATTAAATATATACAGTAGTCTGAAAGTCTAAGCTGTTTACTTTACTTACAAGCAACAGATAAAGTTCCTTCCCCGTTGGCACTCGAACCTTCATCGTTGTCCCCTGTTCTCTGTGCAACACAAACGTACTTTCCTCGGTCTTCAACGATAACATTATTAATGCTCAACAACGCTCTTCCTTTTTCTTCGTCTATCAGCGCTTCGTATTTAGGGTTAGCTTTGATGTAGTCATCATTGCTAGAGGCAATGGCAATCGTATAGCTGCGATCCCGTTTGTACCATGTGGTTGTTTTTATGTCACTATCTTTTGGAAACAATTCGCAAATCATAGTAGCAACACTGCTGCCCTCCTCTACTTTTACGTCACGAACGTGTGCCACAAGTTTCGCTGAAATTACAGAAAACAATGTTCGAATATGTATACTATTTTCCAAAGTTTTTATGAGGCGTGTGATTCAGGGGCGCCAGTCGGGGTGACCTCCCCAACCCCCCGGGGACTAAACTACAATTCGTCGGGGAGAAAAACAATATATGTATGTCTACATATTAAAATTGATTAAATAAGCCTTTGAAACCCCTAAATTGTCATTTCGGGGGCTTGGCTCCTGAGTCCGCTTTCAAAATATTTTGATAGACGCCCAACCACGCCCATTTCGTCTCGTCAGGGACATCGCCCCCTCCCCCTCCCCATATGGGACCTCGGCCCCATGGTTGAGGAAATCCTGGTGCCACCCCGGGTGTGATTCTTTTTGCTGTGTTTCTTATGTGCGTGTAAACAGTTAATCATTTCACAGGCTGGAGCACAAAGAATGCCAGACTAATAACAAAGGGAAGCTATTCGCTTCCTTTCCCCTTACATTATCATTCTTTGTGTACAATGAACACTTAACAGAAAATGTTAACAAATTTCAAAATTGATTGATACATGATGAAATTTTATGAAAATGATAAACTTCTACAATCTCTACAATTATTTACTGACGATGCAAGGACTCACGTTTTACAAACAATGTCATCGTTTTTAGATGAGTTTCGTCGTTCTTCATCACAACAGTACATTTGTATACACCGGCATCGGACGGTATCAAATTGTTAATCGACAGCCTGAAAGAGCCAACTTCTTCTAACGATACAGCGTACCTATCTCTACTATCTATGAATGCAGAAAAAATATATTTAAAAAATGGAATTTACTTACAAATCAAACTTACACATTTACTTACATCAGTATACCTTCAAAAAACTTAACTATGGTCTAGATTTTTAAATGATTTATATTTTAATTAAGGTTAGTTTTGGTATTTACGTAAATCACCTAGTTTATGTGTACAAAATATCATGCACGTACGTTCAAAACTGGCGACGCTGGACGCTTTTTAAAGTTTTAAACCCCTGTTTTGTTTTGTAGGTGATGGGGAACCCTGGGGAAACTAAAAAAAGCGATCAAAGTCTTGTTGGAAATCACCTCTAGTTTATGAAAACAAAATATCATGCACGTCCGTTCAAAACTAGCGACGCTGGACGCTTTTAAAATTTTGGTAACAAGAACAACAAGAACAACAACAACGACAACGAAACAAAAACAACAAGAACAGCAGTAAAGCTCTGGGTCAGCGCTTCGCACGAACCAAAACTACTCCTATCCTATCAAAATATAAAGTCAATTTTAATTAATTCCATGGTCACCCTATGCCAAATAAACTCAACAAATCGATAGTGTCTGTATTAGTGAATCTATCTAATTCTGTCACAAAAGCATGATGCAATATTGATAATCTTACCTATTTCCTTGCTTTTCTTCAAAGAATCATCCTAGTAAAATAATAATAATAGTAGTAGTAGTAGTAGTAGTAGTAGTAGTAGTAATAATAATAATAATAATAATAATAATAATAATAATAATAATAATAATAATAATAATAATAATAATAACAATAATAATAATAATAATAATAAAAAAAAAAATAATAATAATAATAATAGGCCCTAATTAACATCTCATCCTGCCGTGAAAGACCCCGATATCTTGGTTTCCATCGTCAGAAGAGCGCCCAAAGATGTATTGCGCCTTCGTGTGTTGGAAGCACAATGTATCAATCGCATTAGGCCCTCTTCTCAATACTTTCCAACACCTGTTAGCTTATTAGCACAGTATATAAGACCTGGCCTGCCTAATTCCTGTCTCAGTTGCTGATGAGTCGTTGATACGACGAAATATTCAACACTACCGTGTGGATTGGTATATTCACTCTTTAGGTCATTTAATACATATTCTCTTTCAATAGGCCCTAATAATAATAATAATAATAATTGTTGACTATAGCGCATATTGTAGACTAACCTCAATGTATTACCCCCGGTCACTGGATCAAGCACATGGAAACAACACTCATGCCCCATAATATTACAGCTGTAATAAGCGCATGGTTGTGGAAATAAGGAGGTAGGTCTATATATTATGGCCTATATGATAAAATTCTAAATTTTCACCCCCTACTAAAATTTTACTCTGACCAATCCTTGTATTTTCAGGGATATTTCATAACTAATTTGTTTTTACTTTATAGATAACAATATATAGGCCTTATGCCTATACACAATCTTCACTGTATTAAACATATATTATAAAAGATAAAATGTAGACTCCTTAAAAATATTTAAAACACTGAATATTAAGTATCAGTTATTCATCAACCTTGAATGAGATACAGATCAGACAAATTCAGTGTTCGCAACATTATTGTACATTTTTTTTTAAATATTAAAACCATTAAATTAATTAATGAATGGTTAATACAATTTTTCCATTTTATGCATTTGTTAATTGGTAAGAAAAATATTGTTGTTATGTAGCGTTAAGATAAATATTAATAATGTAATTGTTGATTTAATATCCCAAACTAATTATATAACAATGTCTTAAACTTTGGCCATACTAAACAGCTTCACCCCTCAAACACTTGTTATATCTCAGGTTGACAACATAAAGCTTTAGTGTGATGTGGTTTTCAAGAGTTTTATAAACGACTAATAGTTGTATATTTATGAAGTGATAGTTCTCATCTATTTTGAAACCAACTTCGTAAACAGAACCATCAATAAATTATCAGTTTTACCTCCCAAAGTTTTGAACCCTGGAAAAATATCTGACCAATAGAAACTCCCAAAAGTGATGTAATGGTCAAGTGATTAGGGTAAGGTATCAATACTCAACCAATGAGAATGACCACTACACCCAAAGTGGTATCTTAAGAAGGCAAGCATAGTTATTGAAAGATTTCCTTCTGATGCTTTGAAGGCAACAACCAACTTGTAAATTTAATATGGTATATAGTATATAGTACAGGTAGTAGTGAATAAAGTACACATAAGTATACTGTCTCCGAGTTAAGCTGTACGTATCAGCAGAGTGTAAAGAAGTACCTCTACAGGCAAAGCTTGGGGGAGCAAAGTCTGCCCCAACAAGAAGACCTATACACACACCCAATTACATTGCAATATTTCTAATTAATAATTGAAATTTAATAATTTACCACAGATTAACTTTAAGAAAATGTGCGTGAGATCTGTATAATTCAGTACAATCACTTTCTTATAAAAAAAAAAGCCACTAAACATAAAAATGGATAGGGCCTACATTCGTTCTAGTTTATCATGAACTTACTTACATCGTTATGTGCAATGTAATCGTAGCCCCGTTGATCACTGATATCGCCACTACAAATGATTGCCTGAAAAATTAACCATTACATTATATTATTATTGTATATTCAGTTGACTTGTATTACATTTACTGTATATATATAGGTCTATATATATATATATATTTATATATTTATTTATTTATACATATATATATATATGTATATATATTATATATGTTTTAATAAATCTTTAACGTTGATAAAGGAAGTTATCGAAATATCCTTTTGATTTTGTTATATTTTACTAAATTTGTGTTCCGCTAGTCAACCTTCAATGAGTGTACATCGTTTTTTCACTGATTTTACATTTTATTTCACTTGGAGTATATATGCAAATCCACTTCTCAATATTATATAACAATGTCGATATTTACATATATATATATGCATATATATATATATATATATATATGTATGTATATATATATATACATATATAGACATTGATACGATAAAAATTTAACGTAGTATAGGAACATAATTTTATTAGGCACGTGCCTATTAAAATTATGTTCCTATACGTCAACTGTGTATGATTTTTATTGTATCAATGTCTATATTTACATATATTTCGCTGGGAACATACGTGCTGCCTATTACCATCAATGCCAGAAAGTGTTTTGAAAACAAAGAGGAGAAGTTTGAATTTAATTCTTTCCTGTACAGGCAACCAATGGAGATCACGAATAAGGGGAGATGTATGTGTACGTGCCATACAAGAAAAAATGAGTCTAGCCGTAGAATTTTGAAGTTCTTGCAGGGTGTATAAATCTTTTTTTAAATTGCAGTAGTCCAGTCTTGAAAGAACTAGTGCCCTCACAGCAGCATGGCAGGTATCACTATCTATGAACTTCCTGATTCTCCATAAGTTTCTTAGATGGAACTTAACAGCCCTACCATTAGATACTTGTAGGCTGAGACCTGCTGACGAGTCAATAGTCACTCCAAGAGGGCGGACACTTGAAGGGTAGATGTAGGTAGGTTTGAGTAGCTCAAAGGGGTTTACAGATAATGTAATATTTTCCCATGTACATAAGTTAATCTTTTAGAATTTTATCATGAACATACTTACATCGTTTTTTGCAATGTAGTCGTATCCAAGTTGATCACTGACATCCTCGATATATTTGATTGCCTAAAATATCCATCATTTATAAGAAATTATTAACTAATCGGTTTTTTTAATAATAACTATACCCTATAGGAATAATATATATATATATATATAAATCGTTATGTCTCTTATACACATCTAGATGTGTATAAGAGACAGTATATATATATATCATTCGTGTTCCATGTGTATTTCGACAGAATAGAGAAAAAAAGGAAAAAAATTAAACAACTTCAATAGTACACTTTAAGAACACTCATGTATTAGTAACTCGGATATTTTTGCCACGCTTGTGGCCTTCGGCAGCGAGAATAAATACAATAAATATAATTAATAAATAATGTTATATGTTGGTTTGTTGGCAAAATAGTTAACGGATCTCGTTAACCTCATCACTTGATATTTATTTTCATTAAGTTTCAGAGAATTAGACATGCTCCAGTTTAGATTGAATTAAGATCAGATTGTAACGTAAGAGTATCACTATGACACTTAATTACTTCTATAAAGAATAGTGTCATCAGCGTATTAAAATATAAAAGAATTTATACTAGGGCTTATTCGGAAGATCCAGAACAAATATATTAAATAAAATGAGGTCCAATATAGAGCCTTGTGGTACTCCACAAAGTACCTTACTAGACTCAGAAACAGCCCCTTTGAAAACAACTCTTTGCGAACGATCACTGAGGTAGTCAGCAAACCAACATATGATAGTTCCACAAACACCGAATTGATGGGGTTTGGTAAGTAACATTGAGTGGTTAATCCGAACAAAGGCCTTGCTCCAATCGAGAAAAACCAAGTCAATGGGAGAAGGGGACCGATCATCAAGAAGACCCGCCGAATGATGAAACACACGAGAAATGAGACTACTGCATGCATAATCTCCCACTAACAAAACCATGCTTTTTTTCCCTTTCATTCATCTTCAAAAGACATGACAATGATAACAAAGCAGAGAAGTACATTACAATATTTAAGTGTTTTTTTAAACATTAAATAAAAGCAGAAAAAAAAAATAAATAAATTTTAAAAAAAAGAAATAAAAAAAATAAAAACATGACAGAAAAAAAAAGGCATTCCTTAAAATTGAAAAAAAAAAACACTTTCAAATTTCAAGTTATTTTCCACAAAATCAAATAGATAGCGGTACAAAATATCCTTTAAATTCACACATCTTATAATTGTTTTTAAATAACAAAATCAGAAAACTACTGTAAATAATGGTTATAATTATTGCATTCTCATCACATTATTTTTTAAACACATTTTTCTCTTGTAAATATCTTTTCTTTTTTTTTTTTTTTAAATCCATGGAAATATATTATTTTAATAATGATGAGATATATGCCAAAAACCAGACAAAATTTTCAGGCGAATATGTATATTTTTCCCCTTTTGTTGGAAATAAATTCAGAAATAGCTTTTAACAAATTAATTTTGTTTGGGGGGAGGAGAGGCAGCCGTGTAGGTTTGAAACCAATTGACAAGAAAATCTCATATAACTTATTTTTTGTTTGGTTTTTTGGCAGCAATATGATTTTTTAAACGGATTTTCATATTTAATAGCAAATTAGCATATAAGCCAATGGAGACAGAAAAAACTCCCTTTTTTTTCTTCTTGCATATCATAAGCCAGAACCATTAGGCCTATATCATATGATTTATAAATTCCCATCTCTCCTTAAATTTTCTATTTTGTAGAAATACCTAATTTTATTAATAAGTACACCTCTAATAGGTCTAATCTCCATTATTTTACAAGTAAAAATATAGAACTTGGTAATGAGTAGTATAAGGTTAAATAACATCTTATTTCTGGCACACTTTAAACCAAATAACATGGACCATTTATCTAGGTCAAAATTGAGCAATGTTTTTACGTATAACCAAATATCTCTAACATACCTACAACCCCATAAGAAAAATATTTTCTGTATTGCTTTTACAAAAAGTGCATAAAGGCGAGATATCTTCAAACTTTGAAATCATTTCATTTGTTCCCAAAATTCGATGAATACAGTAATTTCATATTGGAAATATTGTAATTTTGAATCGGTGGTGCATTCAAAATGTATTTTATAAGCAAAAACCCAGTCAAAATAACAGGGAATGTAGTTTGAGAAATCCATTTCAATTCAGAAATCGGTTTCGAAGAATGCTTACTTTTTAACTTACAAAAAACAAGGCGATTAGGTTTTTTGGCAGAAAAGAAGCAATTGATATCTTCAGCTGTATTATCAGATTTAAGTTCATCTTCATTTTTACATAATTTTAGCCAATCTCTTGGAATTGATATTATTTTGTAATACGATAAAAAACCAAACGTGGTTTCAAATTTGGCCTTGAAGTTATTATAATTTAAAACAGTACCTCCTTCATCTAAAATATCATTTACATATTTTACTTTATGCAAGAGAGTTGAAGGAGGTAATAAAACTTGATTATTTGACTTAATCAGACTATTACACCATATGATTTGATGCTTTGGATTAATAATACTCTCACTATTTGTAAAAATATATTTGCTCCATGCCACCAACACATGTTTTATAAATTCGTTTTTTATCATGTCCAAAAAATTTCATTATGTTTAAAATTACATTTCCAGATTAGATTTCCACCTAACAATTTAGTAGAGTGGTGCCAAAAAAGGGTCCATTTACTTGGTTTATTTAAAAACAGTCTTTGGATCCATTTAGTTTTCAGGCATATAGCAGAATGACTCAATGTGAATCATTTTAGCCCGCCCTCATTAAGGTCCGAAATGAGCGTGGATCTATTTATTTTATCTGGTTTATTATGCCATATGAACCTGAAAAAGATACTGTTAAGCTCTGCGAAAAAGGATCTGGTAAAACAGAGAAGAGGAACGTTAATTTTGATATTGCTAATGATTTAACAATAATTATTTTTCCGATAATGTGAGAGGTCCCTTGCTAACCAACTATTCAATAATGTTTTAATTTTTTTTAATTGGGGTTCAAAATTTAATGTAAACAATTCATTATTATCTCTATCCGTCCTAAACGATATTCCAAGAAGGCGCACAGGCCCATTAGTTGTAGTAAATTGATGTGCTTTATCCATTAATGTGTTTTTATTTCCAATAGGAAAGATGTTGGATTTTTGGTACAGTAATTGATGTGAAGAACAGAGAATAGCGCAAATTTTTCTAATGTTATTATTGCTTCATCAAAAGTTTCTTGACTACCATCAAGTATAAGCGTAGTGCCATCGGCATACTGGATTATTTTAACTTCAGATTCATTAATCTTAATTCATTTAATGTTATTATTTTTCTAATATTGTTCGCCAAAAGTTCTACGCAGAGAATAAAGAGATAAAGGGGACAAAGGACATCCTTGAACACCTCTACTTAGGTACTGTATCCATTGTTTGTTACAGAGCTTAAGGTTTTGCAATACAAAGTTTTAACCCATTTTATAAATTGGTGTCCGAAATTAAAGTATTTGAGTGTTTTCCAAAGAAATTCCCATTCAAGTCTGTCAAAAGCGCTTAAAAAACTATCAACAAAAGATGTCCAGGAATATCATTTTGACCAGTACTTGTCCGACATCATCTCAAAAACGAATATAAAATTCTGATGGTAAACCATCACTTCCTGTGCTTTTTCCATTTTCCATCTGACTTAAGGAATTATAACATTCTTCAACTGATATTTGACCTTCACAATTGTCAATTTCATTTATAGACAACTTGCCTTCAAAATTAAAAGGGAAAAACTCATTATTTTTTTCAACAGGTGGAGGATTAGAAGACAATACATCTCTTATGAAACCATGCTGCACTGGGGATGTAATTAAATGATCATTCATGTACTCAGTCAATACTGTTTACAATCTTCTCGAGCAATTTTCCAACAATCGAACAAAGGGGGTGTAGTTACAAATATCTTGGACTGAGCCTGATTTATGCACGGGTATCACGTTGGCTCTTTTCCAGTCATAGGAAACAGAACCAGTCGAAAGTGATAAATAAAATAATCTAGAGAGAGGTTCTGTGATGAAAGAAGCAGTGAATTTGAGCATAGTTGACGCAATCCCATCTTGACCAGCAGATTTACCTCCCTTCAGTGTATTAATTAAATTAAGCACCTCGATAGGATTGGTTCTTATACAGTTGAGTGGAAGAAAGCCAACGTGGTCCCTACAGTCACAATGTACAGACGGTAAAACACTGGTACTTGAATTATCAGAAGAAAATTTAGAACAGAAAAATTATTAAAACAATTCGCTGACGGTTTCATTACATATTTTAAAAACATTTGATGATGGCTTAGCTTTATTACGACGCACGAAATTCCAAAATGAATTTTTATTATTTGCATATTTATTATTTTTTTTAATGGAAATCGCTATACACAAGGCTAAGAGCCACTCATGGTATAGGCTAGATAAAAAGTAACAAACAAATTTTTCTTCCTAATAAGTCTTAAGTTTTACACGCTGCGCCACACGCTTCTACAAGCGTCTAACTATACAACTTATTGAAACGCTCTCACATAAGTAGACTTGCTACAAGTCTCTTCTTTTTTTAAATTATTTTTCTCATTCTAGACAGCGCCACCAACGAGAAAGTTAATTTAGAGACGGAATAAGCCGGAAAAAAGAAATCGAGTATGGGACGCCAATTAAATTAGGTATGGCGCGCACTAAGTGAAATAAAGAGTGAGTAACCCAAAATTAGGGCCTGGAACCCTGGCTATCACATAAGCTATAAAATAATAGAAGAAAAAAAACGGTTGTAATCTGCCTCAGTAGAAATTTATATATTTTTGCTGATGGTATTTTTAATCTCTTGCTTATCTTGTTTGTTTCATCTTTTTGATGTTTGTAAGCTCAACGTTTTCAGCTGCCTGGCTGCTTGTTGTGCAAGTTTATACCGTAATAAATAAATTTAAAAAATAAATATATTTATTTGAT